TGTGTGTGTGTTCGTGCGTGTGTGTGTGTGTGCATGTGTGTGCGCACATGTGTGTGTGTGTTCGTGCGTGTGTGTGTGTGTGCATGTGTGTGCGCACATGTGTGTGTGTGTTCGTGCGTGTGTGTGTGTGCATGTTTGTGCGCACATGTGTGTGTGCGTGGGTGTGTGTCTGTGGGCCAGGGGGGGCGGGCCCACCCTCCCCCAACCAATCAATCAATCAATCAATCAATCAATCAATCAATAGATCAATCAATCAATCAATCCAATCAATCAATCAATCAATCAATCTCTTTTTTTTCTTTTTCCCCGACCACCCCCCCCTCCTCCCTCCCCCCCACACCAAACCCCCGAACATTCCCCCCCTCCCCCCTCACATGTCATAGACCCCCCCGGGAAGGCCGCCGAAACGGCTCGAACAGCCGTTTGTACGGCCTGTATGACTGCCTGGGGGGTCGTACGTACGGCCGTATGGGCCGTATGGACACCGGGACGTTTCTTAATTAAAAGCAGAAAAAAATTTTCTTTTCCCAGCGAACGTCATTGTTTACGGTTTGTAGGAATCAGGATCGGGTCTTGTGATTGTTGAGACTTCAAGACTTGGTTTTCCAACTTTGCCTCCATTCCATTCCATCTTCTTGCGATATCACGAGCTCACGAGCTCATCTCCTGGATCACCATAGCGGCCGCCCGCCCAGAGACACTCTGCTCTGACGCTACTGTCGCTACACTCGAGGATCACTGTCTCTACCGTCTTCACCCGAATAGAACGCCCGGTCATTATAGCCGTATTTGATGCATTTTTCAGTCCAGATATGGCCATAATTGCCCGGGTGAAGACGGTAGTGTGGTAATTGTGGTTTAAGCTATAATTTCAATTTTCAACCCACAAAGAAGAGCAAGCCATGAGCAAAAGGTCTGACAATGGCGTTCTATTATTTTGTAATATCTTGAGCGTGGATCACAATCTCTACGCGACATCGGCGGCATGTAAGCACACCATAGATGATCTTAAGGTTAAGGATGATGACCTTGAGCCACTTGGCCGTATTGTAATTCAACTGGCACATCGTACATGGTCAGATCAAGAACATACATATTGCAAAGAGATTTCAATTTTCCAACTTCCATGATTGCAATGATACCAACTGACTTCAAGTTGAAGCCTTTTTAGGCATTCCCATCAAGCAGACACTGTCTGACAAACAAAGTTTTGAGCTTGTGAGATAGAGGGACAGTTTTTCTTAATGATATAACGACAACGGCTAAACTCACACAATACCCCATAATTCAAAATCAAATTGAGTGTTCTCCCTGATAGGAAAAGAAAGATAAAAGGGGTGGCTACGTCACCTCCGTCGCGGTCGCAAAAACAGTTTGAAATTGGACTTCCGGCAATTGCCCCAAAGATGACACTCCCGGAAGTGCAATTTCATTAACGGCCAGCCAGTACCTCTTAAAAGTGCTCCGCGGTAACGGCCAGCCAAAAGTGGAAATCGCACCATTTTCACTTAGCTGAATCAGGGCTACTGCCCCAGGCCCATTTATCGCAAAAGCCACGCCCGGCGGTAGCGGCCAGCCAAAAGTGGAAATCGCACCGTTTTCACTGGGCTGAATCGGGGCTACCGCCCCAGGCCCATTCATCGCAAAAGCCACGCCCGTTACCGCGGAGCACTTTTAGGAGGTAGTGTGCGTAGGAGGTAGTGTGCGGGACGGGAAAGCTAGCTTGTATACATTCGCCACACTAGCTAGCTTGTACACATTCTACATTTTCAGGCCGAATGCCTGAAGTGCGATTTCAAACTGTTTTTGTGACCACCGCGTAGTTTCCCCAAGAAAAACAAGATTGACTTCTAAAAAGTGATCTCTCTCATCGTGGCCAACAAAAGGCATTTCATCAAACTCGTGTGATCCGAGGCTGAAACTTAGCTGAAACTTGGTAGCTTTAGCCTCCAGCCTCCGGTGTCTTGCCGTTTTTTTTCGCAAGCGAGGCAAGGGGCTCCCCGCATCACACTGCATACACAAGTATGCAAAAAAAAAAAGCCCCCAACTTTTCAAGCAGTGCTCAACGATCCACTCATAAGCAATTTCTGGAATTGAAAGCATGTGTCCTACCTCTATACTAGTCTATAGTCTGTACAATGCCCCACGTACTCTGAAGTGTCTGAAGGGGCTGTACCGACCCACATTGCCCCCACACCTAAGACCAAACTGCCGGGTACTCCCACTTTAAATTTCCCCTTAAAGAAAAGGCAATTGTTCGGAGCCAACCAGTGGAGTTATGGGTTACAACTTACAAGTACAACACCTATGGACAAAAAGATCTTGAAAAGGGCTAACTATGCGGGACCCGGACTCACAAAACGAGTTATACTTGCACTATGGGCCAAGATTGAAGATCATACAGTTTGCAATTGCAGTTCGGGCACCCTACCTGGCCTGAAACCTGCCTCGTATAATACACGTCGATTGTTCCTGAAAACATGACGTCTGGGAAAAAAGAAAAAAAAAAACTGTAGAATACAAATCATAACAGAAGATCAACAAATTGACAGCAATCGTGACACATCAGCTTCAAAAAAAATCAAGATCAATAAAGATGATCTGAAATTACCTGGGGCCGGGTCGGTCACCTATGGATAATTTTTTATTTATTTGGGAAGAAAAGCGACAAATTCGATTAACAACCTGTGGATATATCTGTGAGTGAACGGTGGGCTTTTTTTCACAAAAAGAAAAAGAAAAGAAAGGAGTTGCCAGGCTGGCAATGGGAATACGGCAATATGTATACTGATGACTTGCACGCTATACTTTGATATTTATAGGCATTACAGGACGGCACGAACGGGTATAGGCGTGGCTATACAAGCATAGATGTAGATGCGGTACACTGGTACAGACCCATATGTAAACATCTGGAAGTGAAGACCTTTAAGTATAGGCAGAGGTATGGTCAGATGTATGGATCTGAGTACAGACCGACATACTTGCCTATAAATTGAGTATAGATATATATAGACAAGTGCATCAGTCGGTACATATCGATGTTTAGCTATCATATGCGTGCGTCTATGACTCTATGCCATGACATATAGATCTATAATGTACTATTCTTAGTGTTCATATATAAACATCTCCACGTGAAGACCTTTCACTATAGGCAGAGGTATGGATCTGAGTGCAGACCGACATACTTGCCTACTGAATGAGTATAGATCTATATAGACACGTACATTAGTCGGAACATATCGATCTTTAGCTATGTGTGTGTCTATGCCATGCCATAGAGATGTATAATGTACCACTCTTATTGTCCATGAATGTCTACCTTACGGAAACAGACGTGGACTGTCCATTCAATGGCACGAACCAACGCTCGCACAGACCGCCGGACTACCACATCCTCTCTCTCTCTCTCTCTCTCTCTCTCTCTCTCTCTCTCTCTCTCTCTCTCTCTCTCTCTCTCTCTCTCGCATGTACACGTGCATCTTCGCTCTCGCAAGCGCTCTCTTTCTCTCACCCGCTCTGGAAGGAAACTTAGGAAAGTACATTGAAAGAGGAGCAAAAGCACAGGTCCAAGAGACGGGGCAGGCCCGGCAGGGGAACTACAAGGTAGCGGTACCTGGGGTCTCCAGGCTCTCTCTCTCTCTCTCTCTCTCTCTCTCTCTCTCTCTCTCTCTCTCTCTCTCTCTCTCTCTCTCTCTCCCCGTGTGTGTGTGTGTGTGTGTGTGTGTGTGTGTG